TACTCTGTTTGTGTCGAGGGACCCGATCCTTGGGGTGGACCAGTTTTTGGCGCAGCGTGTTTTAGGGTTTAAAGGTCACAGAGACCCGGTGTTTAGAAAAAATGCGTCTCAGCTGTTCTGATACTCCTGACACGTACGGGATCACTACAGGTTTTCAGTTGGGCAGCGGTTGTCCTTCTCTCCTGGGTCGGCTGGAGCTTTCTTTAGGAGCCTTCCCAGCTTTGACAAAAGTCCAGCTGGGATAACCACATTTATTCAGGGCCTTCTTGATGTTCTTCTGCCTCCCTGGCTGCTGTGTCAGTGGGGATGGTGTTCGCTCTGTGTTGTAGCGTCCTGATGACGCCCAGTTTGTGCTCCAGTGGATGATGAGAGTCAAACCTTAGATACTGATCCGTATGTGTAGGTTTACGGTACACGTCAGCTTTTAGATGTCCCCCATTACTGATGGAAATCTCACAGTCTAAGAAGGCTAACCTGCCACTTTTCATATCCTCCCTGGTGAATTTGATGTGTCGGTCCACAGAGTTAATGTGGTAATGTGGTACGTCCTGAGATTTGATTTTCAGCCAGGTGTCATCCACATATCTGAACCAATGGCTTGGTGGTGTTCCAGGGTAGGACAGCAAAGCCCTCTTTTCCATTTCCTCCATGTACAAATTGGCCATGATGGTTGAAACTGGGGAGCCCACGGCTCTCCCATGTTTCTGCCTGTAGAACTGAGCCTTGTATGTGAAACAGGTGGAATGAAGACACAGTTCAAACACACTTGGTGGATGCTGAGAGCGGTCCTGTTGCTGAGGTTGGGATCATCCTGTAATCTCTTACGGACCGCCTCCAACGCTTCCGTGACTGGGATGCAAGTGGTCATGAGAATTTGCATAATTAAGACTGACCTCCCAGCCCATTGTTCCTTCAGTGGGCTGGTTTCAGTCATTATGCAAATGTGCTGTTTATAAGATTGAAACCTGCAGTCAGCTGAGACTGAAGACGTCACCTGGATGGGTGACTGAAAACGTCCAGATGAACAGAATCAACTTTTGGAGAAAGTTAAACTTTTGTAAATGTAATCAATTTTTTACAAAATCATTTTTTACAGTGTAGGCCCAGCTGCCTGTTAGAACAGAGAGCGCACAATTACACAATCAGTCCCCTCTGATAGCCTCCTGGCACCGCCCCCCGAACCCACTGCAACACAACTGTGCCATAATCCATCGACTGTTGGCTGAAGCCTTGTCATAAACAGTCAGATTTGAGTTCAAATTGTTTCAATGTTCAGTAAAGGTCAGGAGAGAGGTGCAACGTGTGCGTGTGCAGACATCTGTAAAACAAGGTGGAGGCTGTCTCGTGATTTGGGGCTGCATCTCAGCCAGTGGTGTTGAGGGTCTCGTCAAAATGGATAAAATTGTGAATGCAGAAAAATGCATGAATATTTTGATGCACTACACAGTATCAAGGAAGACTGTCTGTGCCTTTGTGTAATGGATGATGCTACTGCACACACTGTGCAGCTCTTAGGATGGTTTTCCATGAAATCTACTTTACTGGTTATATGTGTTTGGTGAGTTGTTCTTTTTAGTTGTATTGTTGGAAGATAAAGCCTGCACTGAAGACTGGAGATAAAACAACGATTAAAAAAAATCATTGCTGGTTCTAGTGGCTTTCATCCTTTTTGTGTTTGCTGATATGCACCTTTACTGTGGTTTCCCTGCAGGACATCTTACCTCAGACACACCTCCTCCATCTTACATTACTGCCACCCACTCTGAGACTCCCAAATGCACAGCCAAAGCACGAGAGCAGGTAAATCCTCCTTCGAAAGATGAAAGCCGATGCACTGAAAGAAGGACTCACAGCTGATTGCCTCGGACACACAAATGCACACACTTTTTCCCTGATCTAAATATAATAAGTTTTGTGCATTTGAAGAAAGCGTTCTGTAAAGTTGAACTTAACAGCGTAATGTTGATTTGTTCCAGTTAAGTCACTGTGACACTGGAGGACAGCAGACGTGTTTGATTTTGGAGTAAATATTCTTGTCCTGACAATATTGGTGCTGCTGGTTAAACAGCGTTGTGAAGGTTTCACTTTGGGCTCTGATACGAATTTTTTGCTAAATTATTCAGGTGAGTAGAGAGAAGCACAAAACATTAAAACCTAGTAAGATTCCTGAAAATCAAAAGATCTTCAGTCGTTAGACGGTTTGTTGAGATTTCGCGACACAGCGCATGCATGCAGTGCTGCAGATGTTTGTGACACTGGTATGTTGTCACATCTGTTCTGAGCTAAAACAAAACTCAAATCTACACTAATCACTTATTTGTTTGAGTTTCTTTTCAAACGTATTTAACATACCAGCCAGCAGCGAAGCAGTTTGCAGAAACATGAAATAAGTCACTTAGCTAACAATTTAATTGCCTGTACAGCATTTAGAAATGTCCAGTACGTCATCAGTTGGCTGACAGTGAACAGCAAATTACACAACCAGTTACAGCAGTGTATAGCTCCAGCCTTCCCATGGAGCTCATCGTGTGTCTGCAGTAGCCGAGGAAGGACAAACCCAACACTGGGTACATACTGGGCCTCATGTCTCTTATGTTTGAAATGACGACTGCAGGTGAATGACATAATGAATGAATGAGGGCTATTCAACCACACCGCTACACAGGCAGCTTTAGTTCACAAACCTTAACAAAAAATAGACAAAAAATTATATCTAAAAAACCTGTTTTCCGATGATGTATCTTTAGACGCTCTTGTATTCGCAGCATGCCAGCTCAGCTCAGAGAGCAGAGGCAGACTCTGTGGTGGTGAAGGTTCACTACATTTACACTGTGGCTCTGTCTGTCCCTCTGGACACGACATACAGTGAACTTAAGGAACGAGTCGCAGAGAAATTGGACCAGCCGGCATCTCATCTGCGCCTCAGGTAACAGCAGAAGCTGACAAACAAATGCCCTCCATCAGAGTAAGAATGTTACAGTGTGCACAGACATCTGACATCTACATCAAACATGAACAGGCAGAAGATTTTCCTTTTCTGTATTTTCCTGCTCATCTGCCAGTTTTTCATCCTGCTGATCCACCGCTTCCTCTCACTCCCTCGTCCTCTCTCATTAGACGTAAGCACCACGGCTCCTGCGTGCTGACACCTCTGGACGGGGAAATCGAGTCAGCTCACACTGTGCAACAGCTGGCTGAGGCCGGCAGAGCTACCCTGTGGTGCCAGGTTTGTATCTAAACTAAATATGGTGGTGGAGGTGTCACAGCAACACTGCCACCAGCTTCCCCACACGTTATAAATGTTGTGTTAGTTCATGTTCATAACAAGGCAGGAAGCCTGAAATGGTTTGGACGGGAAGAGGAGGGATGATTATAGTTATTATAGTGGGCAAAGGATTGAAATATGGAGCTGCAAGGCAGGAACAAAAGAGGAAGATTTATGGATGTAGTGAAAGAGGACATGCACAAGGTTGGTGCGACAGAAGAGGGTGACGCTGACACAGAAGATCTGCTGTGGAATAACTAAAAGCAACAGAACAGAATCAGACACGAATGAATGGCACGGGTTTGTTCAGCTGCTCTATCTGCCAAACGTGCTACTTTGGTGAGTCAAAGGTTAGAATACATTTGAGTCTATAAACTGATTCAATCTGTCTGCCTGTCTGTCTGTCTGTCTGTCTTCCCCACAGTCTGTATCCTTCAAGCTCGGGTCCTCTACCAGAGGCCTGGAAGCTCGAGGGTCCTGCGTAGCTCTTCCCCTCCATGCATATATTTATATATGCATGTGTGTGTACTAACTCATTCAATAATTTTTCTTATTTTTATTTCTACAAAACTTTCATACGTTTTGTTCCATGTGTACATTTCAATGTGCACAAAAATGTGGAGGTAGTGTTTGTACAGAAATATGTGAAAAACTATCAAAGCTAAAGGCTTCAGATATTCACAGGTTCTTCTCACCAACAAAATAAATCAGGATGTAATTTAGAACAGATACATCTGAAATGTTGCAGTAACGACTTACTGAAATTTAAAAAAAATCAAGCAGTCCCGTTAGGTCCCATATTTGAGCACATACTAGTACAAAATACTTTACACTGCAAAAGACAGCAAGTAACTTTGTCTTAGTTATTTCAGCTTTAAATATTATATTTATCAATGATGCAAAAATAAAACACGAACATGAAATTTTGCCACACTTTTGAAGAAAATGTTATTTACATTTAACTGTTTGTCTTTTTGTGTCGAATTGTAACACACACCAAAAAATGTGAAGATGCTTCTCTAATGATATCTCAGCTAGTTTACAGGTTCACTCTCTTACTCACACTGTGCTACTGAACTGCAGAAAGAAGATCCCCTGGCCAGCCGTACTATCCTCTACCAGATGGTGGCCCTTTATGATTATGATGCTCAGGGGCCCGAAGACCTGGAGTTCAGTGAAGGTGACACTATTGACATCCTCGGTGAAGGTGAGGCTCCACGGCTCAAAGTGAAACTTCTAATCATTGTTTTTGTCTGCAATTTGAATTGATGCTACATTCCTGGGTCATCTGTTTAGATGCAAAAAGTATTAATTTCCTCTTTGTTTCTCTGTTACGCTCGTTTGTAGTTAACCAGGAGTGGCTGGAGGGACACTGTGCAGGAAGTATTGGGATTTTCCCCAGCTGCTTCGCCTACAGGGAGAATAACAATATCACTACGAGCTCAGAGATTGTGTAATCAAAAGTTCATTGTTGCATTAATTCTTTAAAGCACCTATTATTCTATGAATTGTAACAGTTTACAGGCTTGGAGCAAGCAAACAGGCACGAGGCTGTTAAGTGCACCAAGTGCTATCTTCACTATGCTTTGAAGATCTTTTTAACAGAAACTTTTGTTTAAGAACATTATACATGAAAACAATCATATTGGTGTATCCATCATTACCATCTAATCGTTATTGCATGTTTGATAAATAATCCTTTGTATAATATTATTAACGTATATACTCTCAAGTGTGATATCAGACACTTCCTGGTTCATGAGCTTCTGTTCCCGAGTCAGTCACGTCTCAGTGTGAAGCCTGTGTCTCCGAGTCTTTGCATATGTGTTGTGTTTCCTGTCCTATGTCCGTGTATCCTGCTTTGCTTCCTTTGTCTCGTTATGTTGGACTAGCCCCAGCTGTGCCTCCTTCCTGTTTCCCATTACCTTCGCCCTTCGTGTTTGTGTCTGTTAGTTGTCGTGTCGTACCCTCGCAATGCTGCGGTTCGTCCTCTGTGCTCCAAGTAACTCTAATTCTCAGGTCCTGGTTTATTTTCTAGTGTTGTGGTGAGTTTTCTGTTTCTAGTTTTGTTTTATACTGATAATAGTGACTTCAGCAATAAAGCTGCTGCTTTCAGTTAAATTTCCTGCGTTGGGGTCCTGCATCCTGCCCGCCACACAGCAAAGCATCACATGATTATTCACATGTATACAGTATGCATGCATGCACATGTTCACAGACATATATGTAGATTTATATAAACAAGTCTTAGTTGAAAACATGAGAGAGACAAGTACAAGTACAGTGATGACATCATATTACCCCCCCCCCATTTTTTTCTACCAAACTTTGCAAAACCCAAAAGCTCTGTTATCTGTCTCTATAACAAACCGTTTATTAAAAAGAACTTCCACTCCTGCATCTATCGCTGATTTTAGAGGAAGATACACATTTACGATATTTGCAAACATGATACAAAAGCTGTGGATCACCCGGAGGACCCCAAACTTAAGATTTTTAACCCAACTCTACATGGCACCGAGCATCAGTCCCTTTCAGATGGTGAATCTCAATGTTGACATTTTCCAGCGGTATAGACCAGCCCACAACACGCTGACTGTCGGCTTACAGCAGAAGCAGGAACACAAGGTGTAGGCAGTGTCTGCAACAGCTGGGGTGGAGCTGAAACCAACACACCCCTCAAAATGTTGCTGTGACAAACGTAACACAGGGTTTATTGTGGTTCATGTGGTGTTCTTTGGATTTCTGTGAAAAATAGCACACGGCCTTGTCAAAGACACCTGCAAAACTACTGTGCTTGTACCCTGAGCTTTGCTATCGGTCTCAAGCAAAATCAGGGGCGATCAGAGCCTCGGCTGATCTGAGTCCTGACACTCAGAAATGCGCTCAAAAGATTAACATGATCTGACAAATCAGTCAGGGGAGTAATCACATTTCAAAAGTTCTTGTAGAACTCGACGTAATAACCATATATACCAAAAGCAGGCCTTGATCCAAATGTACACATACTGTATTTTGCCCTTATGCAGCTTTAGAAGATGCAGCATATATTTTCATTGCTATGTATATCAGTGAAGCCAGAGGAGATAAACCAGTTAAAGTGCAGGAAAGTCTTAAAAATGCAAAAGCCTGAATAATCTCTAATTTCCTGTTTCTAAAGTCAGATAAAACTGTGGTTATTGTATTCACCCCTATAAATATTAGAAACACGCTGTCTAACCATGTCTTTGTGTTAAAAGAGTGTTTTTCCTTCCCACTGTCACCATGTGGTTGCTCATAGGAGGTCGTCTGATTGTTCGGGTAGTCTCTATATTACTGTAGGATCTTACAGTATAAATCACCTCCAGGCCACTGATGCTGTGATTTGGTGCAAATAAAATGTCAATTTCATTGAACTGAAAATCTTCAGCTTTGCCAACTGCAGGTCGGTGTCTTTTTGTCAGTGCCATGTCTCAGTCATGCATCATAGCACGTCTCTCTCTCACACACACACACACACACACACACACACTCTCTCTCTGACTCGTGTGCACAGATATATTTTCATTGTGAATATGGTGAATGTGCTGGTTCTAATATGGGGCTTATCTGCTCTACGTGAACACTCACAGTGATTTATCCAACATGCCTCATTCACACCCATCCATACAGGTACTGTGTTCTTTTCCCCACACCATGACAACACCCACTTATTCTTTAACTCACTTTTATACTTATTTAAGATAGTAAAAGCTACAAAAGCACATAAGCATTTCATTAGACTAAAATATATATGTCATGTTCTTTCATTTTTTCCCAGTTGGGTCTTAATGATGGATTAAAGATAGTGATATTAGCTGGGTGGGAGACCTAGACTCCATGAAAAGTTCACTACTTTGTGCATTAATTGCGAGGAAAGGAAATGTCAGGTGCTTTTAGCCGTCATCACAAATGGTAGATGTAAAATACTGCCTGTGATGTGTGAGCAGACAGCTGTTGATGCAGCCATTCAGATGGCTTATCAAACAGAGACCTCTAATTACTGCAGTACTCTCTGAATGCACAGAATCAGCGCCCACATCCCTCTGTCACAGCAGAAAGGATGGGAATCGTATCAGCTTTACATAAGAGAGTGAAAGCAGTCAACAAATGTTCTGTGTGTAGTGAGGAAACAGCCAGACGACCCTCTTTTTGAAACACAAGTTAAGCAGGATAATGTAATAATTTTAGATTTCATTACACCCTAACCATCTGTATTAGTTAATTAGTAAGGGAACGAGTTACAACTCAGAGTACATCTTCAACAGTGATTGCAAACAACACAACTTATTGTAGGCAACACAGATGAAGGAGATAAACAACAATCTAGTGACCAGAGCTGGAGAACACAGCTTTGAGGATAATGCAACAACGAACAAGGGAAGACTGAGGGAGGAAATAAAGGGAGAGATGACTTGTGGACACACACCTGGAGAGAAATAGTTTAATGAGACTGGAAGCAAGTTAAAGTGAACACAAGACACAAAGACACAACTACTAAAAATAAAACAGGAAGTAAGACACAACTAAACAGAAGAGCTGATACAGGGGAAGACTGACGGACAACACTGGGGATCACAGCAAAACAAAGACACAGAAGGAGGAACAGAATGGAAACACAATGGGAATAAACAGAAGGAAACCCGACAGTAACAAAACAGAAGACAAGATAAAACATAAAGGACCTGAATCACGAGGTAAAGCAGAAGATAAACGACATTTATAAGCACATGACAATAACAGCAGAAATTCAATCACTTTATTGAAGAGTATATTTACCACGGTATGAAAAACTGTTTGCCCCTTTCCTATTTCCTTTTTTTTCTATGTTTGTCACACTTTAGACACTTTCAAAATTCAATTGAAAACCCACTTTTATTCCTTGGCCTCCAAACCTACATGGCCCTGTATGAACAAGTGACCCCGAATAATAACAAAAATTAATTGTGGTGTGTCACATCTCTGAAAAACAGAATTCAATTTCTCTAGCCACACCCAGACCCACCCAAACAAAACACTTAAATAGGACCTTTCGGTCGACACAAAGTGGAGCAGCAGAATTTCAGGAACAAATGAGAAACTAAGTAATTGAGATCTGTCTGTCTGGGTTATTAAGCTTTATTAAGTTAGGGTTATCAATTATAAAGGTTATTAAGCTGTTTCTAAAGCTGTGGGACTCCAGTGAACCACTGTCAGAGCCGTTATCCACAAATGGTGAAAATAGGAAACAGCGGTGAACCTCCCCAGGCTGGCTGACCACAATGACTCCAAGAGTGCAGGGACGATTCCTCACAACAGACACCAAAACAACATCTGAAGAACCGCAGGTGAGGGTCAGTGTTCATGACAAGGATCCAAGACAAAGGCTTGTCTCAGTTTTGCCAGAATACATATTGATGATCCCCCAAGACATTTGGGAAAATATTCTGACGAGACTGATGAGGCAAAAGTTGAAGGTGTGTGCCCTATGACAGCGGTCCCCAACCCCCGGGCCTCGGACCGGTACCGGTCCGTGAGTCGTTTGGTACCGGGCCGCGAGAGTTGAGGCTCAGGTGTGAAATGTCTGGTTTTCAGGGTTTTTATCGGTTTTCAGTGTTATTTTGTTATCGTTTTTATCGTTTACTCGGTTTTTCTGGGTCTTTTCACGTGTGCTATGAATAAATCTTCTTTTTTCGGTCCCGGTACTAGTTTTATTTTGTTGTATTTATCCGCGACACCTTAAAGGCCGGTCCATGAAAATATTGTCGGGCATAAACCGGTCCGTGGCGCAAAAAAGGTTGGGGACCGCTGCTCTATGACATCTGGCGTAAAAGTACCACAACATTTCAGAAGAGTATCATTTGCTGCCTCAGGACCTGAAGACTTGCCGTAGTAAAAGGAACCATGAATTATTCCGTCTACCAATACTTTGTGAAGGAGAATCTCCGGCTTAAGCTCACTTGGGTTCTGCAGCAGGACAATGATCCAAACACAGCAGCAGGTCCACCTCTGAATGGCTTAAGAAGCACAAAATGAAGACTTGGTTTTAATAAACCAAATTGGTTTATTCCCTCAGAATTCCCAATCCATAATTTTCCTCCCTTTTCTAGCATTATGATAATTGGGATGATACCTATGCCCTGTTCACTGTTCTTCCTTTGTGTCTCTCCTTCTCACCCTCTGTCGTCTCTCGGGTTCTCCCTGGGAGGAGGCGGGTCTGGCTGGAGGCTCAGCGGGGTGGATATTTTTGGGGTCAGATGAGGTCGCCGCCACTTTGTACTCAGCCATACTATGGCTCACAGACCTTGCTATCATCATGCTGTTGTCACTTCCCACCACCTTTTTCTACATGAGCTCCTTTCACCCTTTGGATTTGAGTCCATTCCCCGACCTCCCCCAGGGGGCGCCCCTGCAGTCATCCAGAGCTCTGACTACAGGAGGAGGACTCTGGCTGGTGCTCTTGGACCCGTCACTGCAGGTTGATATTTTGGTGGTTTCCTAAAAAAGCTGACACATTAGAGTGAATGCCTTTAATTTGATGTAATGAATGGCTTTTGGTCCCGGTTCATTGCCTCCTTTGTGTATTATTGGACAAAATCCATATGGGAGGTTAGAGGCACAGCTTTCACCCTCCCAGGTCTCTCCCCCTCCCCCTGTCTTTGGTCCGGCGCAGGAAGGGAGGTTGAAGGGGGAAGGAGAGAAGTGAGAGGATGGGATGTCGGTAAAGAAGGACTTAGAAGGACTTATGTGCAGCAGTTGTGGAGCCGGAGGGATCCGGAAGGAGTCCAGGTCTCCTGTAGCTGTCTGTTTGCTATTTACAGGAACAATAGGAGAAATCATACGGAGAGGGGGAATATCTCTCACCTCACTGAATTGCAGTGTCGGTAAGGGATGGTCTCCCAGAGGAGTGGATTGTGAGTTCCGGCTGGGGGGAAGAAGAGAGGTGGAAGGAGCTCCGCCTACCCCCAAACCCAGTTCCCTCCCTTCACTCAGGTCCAAGCTCTGGCTTCACTTTTCCTGGTAATTTGTATTTCAATGTTTCAATGTTGCACAGTTTGTTCTATTTGGTTTTATTAAAGATGGAAATTCCTCCCCCCTTTCTAGATTTCCCCCTGCCGTCCCTTCCC